TTCTTAGTGTAATTGTTGTGCTAGGTAGCAGTACTCTGCTTCTTGAATGGCCTGAAGTTGTGTTCAGGGTGGTTTAGGTTAGATCCTAGGAAAAGGTTCTTCACCCAGAGAGTGGCTGGGCACTAGAACAGGCTCCCCAGGAAAGTGGTCACAGCACCAGCCTGAGAGAATTCAACAAGCATTTGGACAATGCTCCCAGACACATGGTGTGACTCTTGGGGTATCCTGTGTCGGGCCAGGAGTTTGACTTGATAATTTTTGTGGGTGCCTTCCAACTCAGCATATTCTGTGATTCTGTGAGTCTTTGGGGTTTGACCTCATGATCTGCATATTCCAGCTCAGGTTGATCACTACATATCTGTTTCCACAGTAAATTACTTATCTGTTCAATGCATTGTATTTGTCCCTTTGTCAGCATGGTAACTGTTGCGGTTTTTTTTACTGAGCCTTATTCTCAGCTTTAAGGCTGATCCCATCCTTTCCTTTTATGCAGTCTTTTACAGGTCAGTTTAAAATCTCAAACAAGAGCAAAAAACTCAACTTCAAGCCTGGTTTTTCTGAGCTAGTGAATGTCACAGCTTCCAACTGGAGCATCACATTCAAAAAGGAATAAAGAGAGCAGCTTTTATTACTTTGAGCCTCCTGCTTCCAGCTGCAGCAGAGCAATACCTGTCCATCTTCCTTCAGCTTCTGCTCACTGAGCTGTTACCCAGCCCCTGTTGTCTCTCTTGCTTCTCTGCTCTACTTTACATTTTTCTTCATCCCCATTTTGTTTATCTCTTGTTGCACCCTCCCATTTCCCAATCTCTGCCTCTGTCACTCTTAGAACAGCAACGCACACAGTGCTGATTAATCTCTTAACAAACCTCAGATTCAGTAGCAGAAGGTGGAATTCTTACCAGGCTTTGGAGAAGATTATGACCTTCATCCTGGACTGCCTCAGCCCAACTCAAACATGCCAGAAAGGAGATGCAATTGCTTTAATGCTTTTCATCTGTTAATCTGGATGATTCACTTCAGAACTGTGACAATTTCTGTAACCCTACATTTGAGCAGTCTCTTGTGATGCTTTTTATTTTACACATCAGTGTTTACTGGCATGAGAGAATGGAGGACACCAAGACCTCTTCAGGAATGTGTGGAGGTGGATGGTTACAAACAGTTTTGTTGCACAAAATCTGTGAAATGTGGTCTGAACCTTAGTGAAATGAAATCAATATATATAATCTTATATTTAATAATAGTGCAAAATCAAATTTTAAAATGCAGTCAGCAACTTACTCTGTAGGAATATCAGCAATAGAAACCATATGGTACTTTTATACCATCTCAGTAATATTTTATCCCCAAGTTCCTCATTTCACCAGTTCAGCTGGAAAATTCTTAGATAAATCTGCATGCATTCTCTGTGAATAACTATTTCTTCTGGAATCCTAAAACATACTCGTGATGATCTTTGGCAAGCTAGCAAGTTGTGTCCTGCTCTTCAAAACAGGTTGAAGACTATTTGTAGTCTAGTTTGTCATCTTAAGTTAAGCAAGAGATGAGAACAGGTTATCCTGAGAGGGTTGGATGCCCCATCCCTGGAAGTGTTCAAGGCCAGGTTGAATGGGACCCTGAGCACTCTGATCTAGTGAGTGACATCCCTGCCCATGGCAGGAGTGTTACAACCCCCTTATTTTAAGGTCCCTTCCAACACAAGCCATTCTGTTATTCTAGGAGTTCAATCTCTGATGGTCCTTTTAAGCTGACTCTACGTTTACAAAGCAGTCTTCAGTTTGTAGATAAATTGCCTTAATGTTTTTGTTTCTTCAGCATGAGAATTGCAGGGCTGAATGTCAGAGCACTGCTGCTTCTTTCTGACATAAACTGCATGAAAGAAATAACCTACAGCATTTTTAATTTATGGTATTCAATACCAGGATATCTTTATTACTCTGGAACAGAGACTATGGATGCCAATGAGATCCAAATTTTAAATGAGTATATGCTTTCCAAAATAAATTCAGTTTGTGACCTCTGTTGATCCTGACTCAGTGCCAGGTATATTTGAGTTGGTGTCAGCAATATTGATGCCATATTTATCAGGAGCTGAATGACAAGATAAGATGATCACAGTGCTTTTTTGTGGCAGTAGTGATTGAGCTGGGTTAGAAGGAGGAAGTGTAGGTGCAGGCTCAGCATTTCACTGTTCATCCTTAGTGTTCTGCTGGTGCTTAGGCCTTTCTCTGTTACAGTGCCTGCTGCCAGGAAGGCCTAAGGAAAGACAGTAAGTCAGATAGATTTCTGACTGTTTTTTTTTATTCTTTTTCCCTGATGCCTGATGAAAAATCACTGTATCATTTGCCATGGAGCTGGTTCTCAGGTGTTAGACTGAGTTTTGTGCTCCAAGATAGTTGCTCCTGTCATGGTAAAAGCTGCTTGGGAAGGGATGTCTTATTACTGAGTCTAAAATAATTTAACTTGAAGGTTTAATAATTCTGGTAATAAGAGAAATAGGAAGTCAGGGAAGAATCACATACTGAAAAAATATTATCAAACTTGAGAAAAAGTAAAAGTTTAGACTGTTTAAACATTTATTTCCTTACATTGAGTTCAAGGAGGGGGTGGTGATATCAAAACAGCAGAAAACATGGCTAGTTCCTGACAAACAGTACTTAAGTTCAAAGGCCAGAATAACTAACCAGCAAATAAGTCTAGAGGTTTTTTGTCTTTATTATTTATAGTTGTTATCTGTGTGGGTTTTATTGTTTTGAGAAATTACTTAAAACTGGGTGATTATTAATGACATATATTGTGTCCTGGTCTGAACTGGACAAAGTGCTCACTGATCTTGAAGCCTGCAAGGTTTTTGCTCCAAAGCTAAGTTTGCCTGCTTCTTGGCATGCACATCAGGAGTACTGTAGAAAAGACTTGAAACTCATAGGAAATATGAAAAGCTGAATGAAAAACAAATAGAGTTAAGGTCTTTGTTTAATGCAGAGTTCTAAAATGAAAGTTAGGCTAGTTTGCACATTAAAGCTCTCCTGTTCCAAAGCTACCATTAGAAGAACCAAATGTTCAGAGAGTATTTGCTTAATGGAAATTATTTGTGGAAGCCATGTCTGTAGTTTCCAGGTTTTTTAGTTACATTGTGCTCTGTCTGGGTCAGATTGACAGGGTTTTATTTCACTGGGACTGAGTTGAAAGCCCTTTGGAAGTGTTAAAGTGCTAATGCAGAAGTTCCCTGCAGGTCTCTATGACGACAGCATTGCCTTCTTGGAAAGCCTCTCACAGATACCATGTTCTTCATATTCTCTGGAGTTTTAAGAATTAGTGGATTCTCTGCCTCCAAACAAAGCCAACAAAACTAATGCATGTAACAGCTGGGTCCATAACTACCTATTCTGCTTTTTATTTTACTTTACAAACATGAAGTCTGAACAGAATATTAAGCAGGATGTGAAGCTGATATTTTAGTGACCCAAACAGAGTTTAGCATAATGTCAGTGCTTGTACATGCTTTGGCCCTCAAGATACACATTTTTCACTCTGTTGGACCACATACAGTATCTTTACCTTAGTAATGTGTGGATGTTTCCCTTTCTCATTCAGTTGCACAAAACCACAAGATTATCTGCTTTAAAAGTCACTCTTTTCTTGTACATCATACCTGTGCAGAACTAACTGAATAAGAGAAAATTTGAATCTTGGCTAAAGGTAATTTAAGGACAAGTTTTACAGATCAAATTCTGCTGTTTGATTTCATTGGGATTGGATTCTACCCGAATGTTTTTAACCTGCCCACCCACAACCACTCCCCCAAATAATTTGAAGGACTCAGGCTTCAACATAGGTACATAATTCATAGAACATTTGATAACAGAGAGCTGTGAATAACTGAAGCAAAAGATGGGAAATCTAAACTGTAAAATCCACCTGGATTATGATGAGCTTTTCACAGGAACTCTGTTCTCTCTAAGTGGTATATAAGATACAAATATTAAATATCTTAATTCATGTTATTTAAGATGGGTAATGGTAAACCCAGGAATAATTAATAAAAAAATGGATTCGGCTTCAGAAAAAAATATTTTAGGAAATCCACAAAGTGATGTGAAAGTACATTACCATGACTATAAAATCTCAAGGTACTGATGGAGAGCTCACACAAGGGTTTAATGCAAAATCCAGGTGCACACCAGAGAGACACAGGGTGGATTGGACCTGGGAGAATATTTTTTTCCATTTATTATTCTTCTTATTAAGCACATTGTATGTTGTCTACTAATAGGAAGCCAGTTAGACAAAAGATGCAGCAGTACTAAAAGGGCACACAGGGGAGGGAGTTGGAGCAGTGCCCTTCTGCCCCAGGAGAGATCTCTGGCTCTACTGTAATGGCTGAAATTCTTTGAACACTCTAAATAATTACTCCATAAGATGATTAAAAAATCAGGAGAGTTGGTGGAGGAGGGGATGTTGGTGATGTTAAGTAATCAAAGCTGTCAACTGGAAAGACATGGGTACCCCTAAAAAAGAGAAAGGGATTCAGTAGAAAGAACAGATATGTTTTTCTTTGTCAAGTACAGGCACCATGTGTTTAGTTACAGTGCTTTGTAAAACTCCAGTGCGCTAGGACTAAATGCCATGCAGATTTAGGATGGGTACAATCCCATTAAACTTGCACAATTCACATTTAGGTGGAATTAGAAGAAAGATGAGAATTTTCTTTTTCTAAGTTGTAAGGAGCTCAGTAAGATAACTGGTTTTAAAAAATACATGGATAATACGATTTCAGTGTACTTCATGCCTTCTCAATAGCCATATTTCATATATTTTTTTAGTGTGAGAATATTTTTTCATGAGCAGGATACAAGGAAAAATATTCAAGGTATGGTTGTTTTATTGTAAGGTTTCACAGGTGTAATTCTTATGCAAGCTAAATTCTCCTAACTGTTATGTGCATGCAGTGTTGTTCTTCCAAGAAGAAAACTGAATTCATGTCTCTTTATGTGTTTCAGGTCAGCAAATCCCACCCTTAGATCCTCATGAAAACAGTAACAATGGAGCAATCAAACTTGGAAGGCAGACTTCACAGATGGGTAGGCGGTGCTGCTGACCCAACTTGATCTTTTCAGATTTACTTGAAAAACAGCACCATTTGCCTTTTTTTTTTTTTTCAATGAGAAAGGACTTCGTGATCTCAGTGACGTGGCTCCTTATCTTGAAAGCAGTAATTTCAATACTTCCCATGAGCAATAACACAAGGACCAGAAGCAGAAGGTTTTACTTCAAAGGGATTTTGCAAAACCCAGTTGGAAAATCCTCTCTAATATCCTGTCAAAATGACAATGTCAAAGTACTCTGATTCTCTGTTTAAACTAGCGACTGTTGTTTTTTTTTTTTTAATAAAAAGATCAGTTCATATATATAATTTAGGTTTGCTGCAAAAATCTATCTTACATTTGCAAAGTGGACTTGGCATGTTTCTAGAGTTTTCTCTGTAATAATAGGGTGAAAAAACCCCATAAAACCTGAGTTTTGGCTTACAGTTTCTCTGCCATCTTTTTATCTGAACTCTGCTTCACAAGTTTTCTAAATCTGCAGCTTCACCTCCTACTTTCAGTAAACATCAGCAAGAAGGGGACTGAATTTGCTAACTGAAGAAAAAAATGGATCCAAGGGATGAGTGAATGCAGTTTTTTATGGACTGGAAGTCAAAATCTGTGTCAGGAAGTGCTGTGTATGTGGAAGAAGGAGTTGTCATGAAGGAAACTGCTGGACTCCATATAGTTCCAGTGTGCTCCAGAAAGAAGTGAAAATGCAGCCACTGTATAGACTGGAATGATTCTCTGTGCAGGGTGTGGGTTTCAGTAATTGCTGAAAATGTAAAAAGAGCATAAGTACATGCTTGATCTCCACTGCTTACCGGGGTTCCTCCAAATCTGTTCCCCAGACCAAAGCTATCTGTGCTCAAAGTTGCATATTCCTTGGTTTCTAAAAGAGGGTGCCACAGTGCCCCACTCCTCACAGTCTCACTGCTGTGCTCCAAGAGGTCTTTGAGTTCAGAGAATGATATTTCTGTACAAAAAAACGCACAAGATAGCACAATATAATTTGGACTTAGAGGCTGGAATCTAAAAAAAAAACAAACGTGAATGTCTGCTTACATTAATGTGTTTTTGTAATCATGTAATTCCCTGAATTTGTGGAGTAGTCTTCTCGATTGTGTGGGGATGTGGTGTGGAAGACACACTGTGTGATATCAAGCATGATGCACTTGGAAATGCAGTGGAGGAAAAAAATTCCTTCAGAGGGTTATGAACTAGAAAGAATGTAAAACCATATGTGTTTTCCACTTCCTTCTTTTATGAATTTGTGTGACTAAGATGATAAAATCCAAATTTATCTTCTTCATCAATTTCATTGGAAGTGGGAATTAGAGTAAGAAATGCTATATTCAGAGCCCAGCCTGAATTCCACAACATTCATTTGTTCCCTTATGAGGAAAATTATCACCACTGCACATTTTCAGGAGGGCTTATTAAAAGCAAACAAAAGGGAAAAATAACTTTCCACAATAAATCATGAGCAGGCAGCCTAGAGCGTGGTTTCCGTGTTGATACATGGAAAATCAGACCTTATTGGCTGGTTTTGAGATTGCTTAGATAAAATGTCACTAATTGTTAGGGCTTGAAACAGAGCCAGATAAAATCAACAGGAACATTTTGTCTCCAGAGGGCTTGGAGTAGTATAGGTGGGAAATATCCCTCTGGATTTTATCTAAGAACATACGCTTCATTTTTTTTTCACATATAATTAATTCCTCCTATATTTTGGACTCCTTTGAAAACATTCTAGAAAATATGGCCTTGGATATTTTGGGTAAACTTTCCATTTTCAGCTGTGCTGATATACAATCCGTGTCTCTGACTCATTGCAGCAACTATTTTACTGATAGTCTAGGGTTATTTAAGTGAAAATTCAGTAATCATCACTTTTGATAGCTGGGGAGGGAGACAGGCTCCTTTAGGGAACATTTAATTCCATCCAGTACAAGCAAGTCTGCCAGGGATGCCTGGCTCCTTCACTTGGCTGGGGAGGGAAAAGCTTAATGTGGCCTTCAGTGCTAAGGAAATACCAAACTTACCAACATAACAGGTTCTTACATTTTATGGGGTCTGTGACCCAATGCTGGAAGAGATCTGATTCCTCCTAAAACCCAGTAAGAAGCTAGACTAGTTACCCAGAAAACAAGGTGAGATTGAACCCATGTTTTTGGAGGTGTCGTAAACTTTAGTTCAACATATAGCAGTTATCCATAATTGATTTTTAAGCTTTTGTAAATCATTGTTACATTTTTTTTTTTTTTTAACATGGCATCTCAAAATTTACTAAATCCTAAATGAGATGTCTGAAAGCTTTGTAAGACAATTTTGTGAGTACTCTAATTTGTGTTAGAGCTGGCAATTGATGTTGATTTTTATGGGACATTGTCCTGAACAACCAGTTCTCACAGCTGGCTTTGAGCAGTGTGTGAATCAGAACAGGTTTATGAGTTATATGTTAAAATAGTTTTAAATTGGAAGTTTTTACAATGGATCTCTGAGAGATTTTAAAATTTGAATGGTGACTAAATAGGTTTTGCTTTTGGTGGGGCAGATCTAAATCACTTTATTCTGCTTTTAGTCAAGAAAAAGACTTAAATTAATAAGGATTCTGATTGTGTAAGTTCTTGAGGTTTGGGTTATTGGGAGCTTCAGCAGAGAAGTCTGAAGCCAGAAGAAAAATAACAAGCCAATGTGCTGTGCAGAGCGTCTTGCATTTTCTCTGAACATAGGGCTCACCTTTGACAATGTTGTTGCCTCTCTGCTGTTTGTCAAAGCCAAGGTGCAGCTTTAATGTGCCGCTTCAAATAGGGCAATTGTTTGTTATAAAAATAGTGATTTTGAAATGTAAAATTAATGATTTCTGCTTCCACTGGTTGCCTGTGTTTCTTGGAAAGGACCACCACCCTTCATAAACAACCAGAAAAATGACAGAGAACCCCCCAATCTCAGAGTTGAAAGTTTTAGCAGCAACTGGAATTCCTCTTAGTAGTTAATGGCTGGTGAAAAGCTAAATTACTGTACTGGAGCACCTGACTGTGTAACTGATCTTCTCTAATAATAATAATAATAATAATATCCAAGCTGGGGTTCTTTGTTAGCCAGCTGGTGCTGGGTTTGTCCGAGACTGATTTTCTCAAGAGAGCTGGCAGCAGGACTGAGGCACAGGCTGTAGTGCCAAGGATATTTGATGGAGTTTGTTTGCACCGTGACTCAAGACTGTGACTGTCCAGTTGAGGGTGACTTGCTTTTCTGGCTTGTCGTGAACTGATTTAAAAGAATTATGAAGGAACTAGTTTTTGTATATGCTCTGCATATATGTGTGTATATAAGTACAGTTTTATATTGTTCTGCTGACATGTAGTGTTTTTTTCACTATGTCTGGTTCTCATATACTATACATTTTATTCTGTAAGTACATTTTTATGCTAATGATCATTTCACCTTTATGAATTTAAAGTTGGTAAGTGGATCGAAGGTGGCAAGAAGATGGAGATATGAATAGGTACAATTTTTGACTTGCCATTCTTGTGCATGAAAATGGCATATTCTAGAGAATGTCTGTCTTGCAGACTGAGAAATCTAAAAAGGGCCATTAATTTTCAGGAATTGGAACTTTGAAGTAATAAAATGACACTCAAAAGAAAAAAAAACCTTACTGTTTCTACACACAGTACATGTCTATCTAAAGTGCTGCAATGTAACATGAGTCTGTATCAATACCTAAAAAATTTATTTGTCATCTCATGTCTTTACTAATCCTTCATGGCACATGGGAATAAGCGTGACTAGATAGTTTACATGTGTGAGCATTCTGGCTGTCATCAGACTGTTTCACTCCAGTGATATATTTTACTAACCTACCCTTAATTATTTAAACCAGAGTCAGTGATAAATTGCCAGTTTAAAATCACCTGCTAGGTACTCTTCCTCTGTTTTGTTTATATAAGGGCTTTGATTGGGCTGGACCCACTCGCTTCATGTATGGGATGCTGCAATCTGTTAATACTTTACCTTCTGTTTTACATATGAATTGTATCATACCTAATAATATTTTTCCCCTAAAATGTAGTTTTTGTGTTTTATTTAACCTGCAATGATTAATGCTAATAAATGTTTTAAATGCCTCTGAATTGGGGAGATCTCTGGTTTCAATGAAGCAGAACAAAATAGCTCCCATTTTGCACATCCTTTGCTCTTGAAAAGGGGCTGTCTGCAGTCTGTGGATTACTTGCCTGGGATTTAAATGCTGATTGAAATGTGTGTGGCTGGCCTTTTAGCAGAAAGTGAACGCATTCTTGGGAGATTCTGCAGTCCAGGTGAACTCTCAAAAAGCAGAAAAAGAAGATCTGAAAATACTTCTGCTAAGTTATTTGATTTATCCATTAGAAGAGAGGGACCTGGGTGGCCAGAATCTGCTTAGAAATTTAGTACAGTAGCTCTCAGTAGAAGGTGAGCTTCTAGTTACCACTTGCTTTGAATAGCAACAATGACTAGTATAGCTCATGAGACACTTCATCTTTTGTATGTTTGTATTTTGGTGTACATCTGTTTTTTCACCCTGGTTTATGTCCCCCCCTCAGACTTGTATCTAGGAGTTAAGAATTAACACTCTCTTAAAAAGTATGCAGTATTTCATTCCACTTGGTGCTATTGTTTCAAGAGGTGTTTAACACACCAGCAGTTTTTTGCACTGTTTGGTTCATATTTTTAAAGTTGTTACCACAACTATGAGGACTATGAACGAAGAGCTGGGTTTTTTAAGGAAAAACAGGGTTTTTTTGACTAAGGCTTTTCTGAGTACCTTGATAAATTCAATGCACAGCAGTACCCAAGAAGCAGTGAAACTCAACAGCACAGAACACCACTTTTCTGTGTAATGAGAAACCAGTATTTCAAAGAGGTTTCATACGTTATGAGTTTAGTTACTGCTGGAAGATACCCAGCAGGATCTGTTCCCTGCTTCAAAGCAAGTACAATTATCTTGAAAAAATTATGTATTTTACCTCCAGCTTTGCATAAACAAGAAGGAACCCAGGCATGTAACTGTAACCTAAAAGGTGATACACTTAATTCACAGAAAGCCTAAGCCCCTTAATTATTATCAGTGTGCTGGAAAATCTGAAGTGAATGCAGTTTTGCCCTTAGGTCTTTAAACTGAGTTGTGCCCCTGAATAAATCAGTCCTTGTGTTGTCAGTGGGATGTTTTACATGGCTTGGAAACATGCGCTTGTGGTGCTCTAGGTTAGCTTGGAGTTGAATTTAGTGATGAGCAGGGAGCTATACAACTGGCTGGAAAATATATCTCTTCTGCTTTCCTTTTGAAAATTGAAGGTTGTGTCTTGAAGTACTTAAGGAAAAGTATTTGACATTTCGGCCTTCAAACTCTTCACTGCAGCTTCAGTCTCTGCAAAGAGCATCATAGGACATCCTGCTGTGATCTCCTGAGCACTGCACTAAAATCAGGACAGCAAGGCTGATGAAACAGTCTGTGTAGATAGTTCATACCTCCACCCCCTCACCTAATCTGCAAAACTGTTTAGGCCACTACCAGGTTTTGCCTCCCTTCCCTGAAAGGAAAAGAGTAAGCTGCAGGATTATTATTTTTTATTTTAAATCTCCTGTCGGTGTTGTTTTATACAAGGCTACAGAATTATTTTCTTTAAAAGTGTTAAAACACTCATAGGATAGACTAGCTAAAAGTATTGTACAAGTGTCTTTGTTACTTGGTGCTGGTTACTCCCTAAGGACTTGACATGAGTGATAGGATGGATATCTTCATTGTGTAATGGGGTTCTTGGCCATCAATAAGGTCCTCTTTTGATCTACTGTTTTTTGCCAGCTGGACCAGGGATAAAGTCATTGCTTGATAAAAATGCTCTCCCATTGTCCAAAATTAAGACTTTTTACTAAAAAATATAAAATAATAGCTAGCCACATTTAGCAGGTTAAAGATGAGAAAGAATAAGTAATAGCATAATGTGGCATAATACAGTTTTTTTAATATCTATTTCAGGTGGGTTTCTTGTGTTTCAATTAAC